GAAACAACCAAGCAATGTTGATTGCTTTAAAAAAAAGAGTAGTAAGATTTATGGGTAAAAATGTTGTTCCGTTGATGATTAGGATTTATACACGTACTTGTGTAATAATCAATTCATTAGACACCAAGATAGTAGATCTTTAAGAATCCAAGCAACATGATTGGATATGATTGTTGAGTACAATAATAACCGAATTCATGAGCAAATAATTAACCACGAGAATTGTAATAATGAGAACAAACATGGTTGGATTAGGGGTATACCTGCCAAGTGCTTAAGGTAAATCTAAAACAAGAGAGAAATGCCCAATTTGAAGGTTCACTCTCAATGAACCAAGGAATTCAATACCTTTCGCCCTAGAATTGGAGCAAAGAATTGTCACACTCTCGTGAAGCTACCAATTCCACACTCCTAAGAACAAAAGCATTAATGAGCCCCATTTCCCTCCTCTCGAAGGTAAAAATGAGGTTGTGAAGAGGATGACTTAAGCTTCTCACCCAACTCTCGTTGGTGTGATTTTCTCTTTGCTCTCCAAGACAAGCCAACCCTTGCTGTGCAACAATGATCAACAAGATCATAAATACACTTCTTCACAACAATGAACAATATAAACGAGTTTTCTACCTTTATGCTAGATTCACATATTTAAACACATAGATAGAAATACAACCCTAATCCAAACCCCTAAACCTACTACTCAGTCAATAAACATTAAAACATATCCAATAGCAAATATGACATAAATCAATAAAATGAGATAAAGATGATACTAGAGCAGTGTTATTATTCATTGTGTCACCATTCACAAGTGATGTCTCTATCTCTTGTATGCGACTCATTACAAAATTATAATTTTCATTATCATGTAGCAAGATGAGCAATACCACGAAACTTATTACATATTTTTTTTCAAATCTTTCAACTAGAATGATTATAACTACTTTTCACAAAGGTGTAGCCATGTTTCAAATATTTCGTCCATCCAGATAAATGTATCTTGAAGGCACTTCATTCACTTTTCTTGATATGAGCATAGACAAAGCATGCCTATATAAAATTCCCCTAAATTCGAACAAGCGGCAATTTTCAATTTTATTAAAGTCAACAATAAAGTTAACATCTTTTCGCTATCTCTGACTTTTACATCTTCTACTACTTCATGCACTTCAAATCTTCATTTTTCATGGGAGTAGGACTACAATAAATTTTTTCTTTAACGTCCTGTTGAAACTCTTTAAAATTTTCATTGGTATAACATCTTTGATTTTTTATTTTTATTTTATCTCATAATTACTAAAACATTCATGCCAAGAGTTGAAGGATTGAAAATCGGTCAGTTTCTCTTTCTCAACTTTACTCTCTAATGCTTTATCATATTGATAAACAAATAACTTCAAACTAGTTTTGGAGTTAACAAACAAACAAAAAAAAACATTCGCACATTCACTTTTTTCGTGCAGTAGACATAACTGCCCAAAATGAATTTGTGACATAAGTAGGAATCAAATGTTGTCTTTCTTGATATAATCCTTTTAACCATTTATTTTGCATGAGATTATACGTTTCAATCAGCAATGACCACCCATTATTAAACTCAGCTTCCGTCAAATAATCATAGACAAGTGCTTGCAAAGCTTCATTGATTTCTTCATATTTAGAATACCCCCTCAACATTTTAGGAAGCTTTCTCATTATATGTCATAAACACATGTTTCGTATTAGGGAAAACTCAATAACATTTTGATTGGCGTTGCACTGATCAGTAATAATGGCATTTGGGTGATATCCGATCCTAATATACATTTTAACCATGATTGAAATAACCACATAAATGACTTAGTGTCTTAGTAAACCCCCTTGTTCTTCATTAAATGCACATTTACAGCCTCATCATGGGAAACCGTTATAGAAGGTTTCACCGGAGAATTCGGTTTCGAACCCCCCTTCGACGGATCCAACACTAACCACTGGCATCACTGTCTTGCCGCCGGCCCTCAGCCAGGTCCCAAACGGGTTCTCTTTTCCAACCACCTCCTTCTCAAATGCCTTAGGACAAAACCTATCTCCATGACCTATAACTCCACAGTGAAAACAGAAAAACAGTAGCCTCTCATATCGAAGATCAACCCAAAACCACTCTCCGCCCGGTTTCTTCATCTTCATCTTCGGTTTCAAAGGTTTCCAAAGTTGGAGCTTAACTCTAACCCACATGAAAGCTTTTCGACCTCCCTCAAAGTTTCTGGGATCCACCGCTTCAAACGTACCAACGGAATTCCCTACAACTTTCGCCACCCGCTCGAACATAAACCCAGAGGGTAAATTATGAATCTGAATCTAGAAGGACGATTCGTCCAAAGCAACCGTTGTCGGATCATCACCAGGAATAAGCTGGCGCATCACAACTAAGTTCTAATAAAAAATCCACGGACCATTCCACATAACACGATCAATATCCCCTTCATGATAAAAGGTAAACAAAAACCAACCAGAGCTTAGTTCACTAATTTAGTAATATGAACCCCTTTTGCTAGTTTCCAAGCATTTGCCATTACATCTCGAAACACAACGAACTTAAAAGCCCGGTCGGTCACTACCCTACCTACTGCCGCAAAACGGTAATCAGGTGCCAATTCCTCAACTTCTTCGACATCAACTATGACGCCCTCATCATCATCAACTAGGGTTAACGCCTCACAGGCTTTCACTAACCCACTCGAATCTCCTGCCTCCATTTTTGCAAAGAGAACCGTAGACAAACCCTAAGAGAGACACAGAAAACCCTAAAGGGGAATAGAAAAGACACCTGAGAGATCACTCAGAGAAAAAACGAGAGAAAAAAGCTAACTTATAACACTTAGGAGTATTGTTTGCGTTTTTAATTTTGCTATAGTTAATGGACTAAAACGGTCATTAACTCTTAAATTAAAGTAATCTAAGAATTACCACATCAAATGTGCGTGAGAGGTAAAATTATGGGCAAATAGCATTTTACTTTGGGTTTTACATTGCAAAAAAAAAAAAAAAAAAAAAAAAAAAAAACCAACTCTGGTGCTACTCACGTGATGTATAAAATAAATCTCTCGCGTTTACCTCGTCCTCCGCCCTCGCTAGTCCCACACGGTGCAAGAGCGTAATTGTTCCTTCTCAGCCCTTCGCCGCCGGGAACGGCATCCGCAGCCGTTCCTTCCGAGGAGCTTCAAGGATTTGACGCTGTTGGATAAATAACAATGGAAAGTAAGTGTTTTAGAAACTCCGAAGATGACGAACAGCCATGGCGAGTTCTGGAATTTTACAGTGGTATTGGCGGGATGAGGTATTCACTGATTAACGCCGCAGTAAACGCTGTTGTACTCGAAGCCTTCGACATTAACGACGTCGCAAACGATGTTTATGAACACAATTTCGGCCACAGACCTCATCAGGTACTTGTTAATCCATGACCATTATCTACTTTACAGTGTAAACGATTATCGACATTAAGGAATATCGGTGAAATACGAACAAATAGAGGTTCTAAAAGCTGAGGAAAATGCAATTACTACCTTAATTTTTACTCCGTAGTTTATTAGTATGAAACAGAAGTTGGCAATGGAAGTTGTGCTTTTGGAGACATTTTTCTAGAAAACTTAAAGGCTAAACATATTGATCGTTTTGGTTTATAGTTGTGAAAACAATTATCGAAATTAAGGAATGTCGGGGAAATACGAACAAATAGAGGTTCTAAAAGCTGAGGAAAATGCAATTACTACCTTAATTTTTACTCCGTAGTTTATTAGTATGAAACAGAAGTTGGCAATGGAAGTTGTGCTTTTGGAGACAATTTTCTAGAAAACTCAAAGGCTGAACATAGTGATCGTTTTGGTTTATAGTTGTGATTATGTAGTTTTTTTGGTTGTCCTTTAGGGTAACATTCAGACTCTGAGTGCTGCTGATATTGATGGCTACAAGGCAGATGCATGGCTTCTTTCTCCTCCTTGTCAACCATATACTCGACAAGGTCATGAAAGGCATTATCCTATTTTGTGTTTCCTGTTTTCACTTGATGATTAAAAAGTGTCGTGTTGGTTGGTATGTTTCCTCAAATTCCATGTTCAGGCCTCCAGAAAGGTTCCAAGGATGCCCGGGCCTCTTCTTTTCTCAAGATTTTAGAACTCATACCGGATACAAAAAGGCCTCCACTATTCCTTTTTGTGGAGAATGTTGTAGGATTTGAGGTCTGTATTACAATATTATGTGCATACTTCATGCTTTTTAATATCTATGTGGGGCAATGGGCTCATATGTGTTTGTTTTATTTTATGTTTTCATTGCAGACATCAGATACACACGAGAAGATGATGGAAATCTTGGGGAAAAATCAGTTTGTCACACAGGAATTTATTTTGAGCCCTTTGCAGTTTGGAATTCCCTATTCAAGGCCACGGTATTACTGCTTGGTATCTTTCTTCCCCTGACCTCTCTTTTGTATTTGTGTGTACATATTTCTTTGTCTTTATAGGTGAGGTCTATAATTATTTGATTGCATGACTATATGAAATAAAAAGTGACATATTGTGAAGAATTATTCATTACAAGCCAATAGAAATGAAAGAGGCATCTAGACCAGAATATGATATTAAAATGATTGACTATGGAGGAGTAAAACTCATTGCCAATTAATGAAAATAAAGGAATTATTTTCTGCCTTATTCATGGGTTTCTTCCATAAGTAATGTAAATTTAATGTGTCAGCTTTATTCATACAAAAAATGGTCCCAATAGGATCATTTACTTTAAGCATCTAAATGCAAGTTTTTCCCTCTTGTTTGTCCTCACTTTCATGCTCTTTCTGTGAAGCAATTCATTTGTGCAAAAAAAAAAAAAAAGAAAAAATCTTTGCAGCACCTCTTATTTAAATGGATGAAATTTAGAAGACTAGGGACTGGTGATGGTTTAATTTATTGCTTAGGTTTTAACTGTTTTGCAGTATGACCTGAAAACCCTTATATTATTTTAGGTAATAGTATTGAGTAACTTTATCATGCAAAATGTTAGGGTTGTGCTCTTGGAGATCTTTCCCATTAACTTCATTTCTGTTAGGCTGTTAGCTAATGCAGTAGCACTTTTTCAGGATGCTTCACTTGGACTCTAAAAAAGATGACCTAATTAGTTCTGAAGTGCTTTTGTTGGATGAGAATTTTAGAACGATCTATGCTGCATTAATTTTTGGCCTATTTACTGGAACTCAAGTTCTGGACTTCTTATCTTATCTTGCTGAATTTGTGAGGTTTTCTGAATATGTGGCCTGGTTGCAAGCTATTCTTTCCTATACCTGAGAGCATTATTGGATCTAAAATGCTAAAACTACTTTGGGAACATTACATCACAGTTTCTTCATGTACTTTCTCCTCTTAACTTTTTTATCTGTATAATATTTCTGCAACTTATTCCTAAGCAGTGTAATTAAGTTACTAATAACAAGCCTCCCTTCATCAACATACCCATCCGTTTTCTCTAGTTCTTTACTCTGTTTTCAGTATATTAGATTCAAATTTTTTTTTTTTTTTTTTTTTTTGGCTTAAAAATAAAGATCATGCATCTATGTGAGACCTAAGTAGAAGTGCCTTTTAACCCTTTCTGTTCAAAGCCTCTCCCTTTCTAGGACCTTAATGATTTGTAAACATAAATCACTAATCAGAGAAGTGGTGCTAAATGATCTTATACTCTCAAGGGATTGAATGTTGGTCTTAATCCACTAATTTTTTTATTTATTGTCAAAATCTGTCCTTGCAAGCAAATAAAACACTGGAAACCTTCCAATTTGATGTGGGAGCTAGATCAATGATTTTTACCCACTGACAGTTTTTTCCTCACTTTTATAGCAGTCAGTTGATGAGTTGATAACTCCACATAGAAAGAGTACTTTTCAAACTAGACCACTGAAGTTATTGAACAACAATCTTCATGTTTCTTTTCACATCCAGAAGTAAGGGTGAACACAGCATACAGAAATTATTTAACAAAATTCTTATTCTTTTCCCCATTAAGTAGTTTACCTTCTATATGCAGAAAGGATAAAGACTAAACAATGTGGTTAATAGTTGTTGGAAAAGGAAAACATGTCCTCTATTGGATTACAACTTTTATTTTAAAGGAACATTTATTTTCAATTTTTTTTTTCTTATATACACATTTCGCTACTTGAGTCCTTTTTTAATTAAGTTTTCTCCAATGCATTTGGGATATTCTTTTCTGTCTTTATTGCTCTGTATTTACATATGAGTTTTTTCCCTATCAAAAATAATATATACACAAGGTTTGTTTGGTCACTTGTTGCAATTTCCTTTTACATGCAAACTTTGACTTTAAAAAATGATTAACTTGCAAGGAGTTACGGATAAAGTATATTTTACTCTATTTCATTACAGGCAAAAAGAAAACCTTTAACCTTTAGAAGTGCACAACATGACAACCAGCTTCTCTGGAGCCCTGGCCCTTTACTTTGTCAGGATGAAAACACAATTGACAAAGATGATGACCAGTCACAGGAGTATTGGGATGAGTTGCTTCAACGTTGTCAGCCTATAGAGAATTATCTTGAATGGAAAGGTTCTGCAAATGGATGTGACTCCAAGTCCAACTTTTTAGCTGATAATGATTCTGAAAAAGTAGATAAAGATGATGGAGATATTGGACATAACAGTGACTTCTCAAGTCAGTATCTTGTTCCTTCAAGCTTGGTGAAAAGATGGGGCAATGCAATGGGTATCCCTCTTCATTGATTCTTTTACGTTTCACTCTGCTATTCAATATTTAGTTATTTAATTAATTTCTTGAAATTTCAGATATTGTTTTTCCACACTCAAAACGTTGTTGCTGCTTTACAAAAAGCTATTACCGATATGTTAAGGGAACAGGTTCCCTTTTGGCAACCAAGCAGGTAGGGCTATAGATATCTTGTGTGGTCTTTCCTAGCATCTGAATTCTGTTGTTGGGCTTTATGTTTAAGGAGCTTTTGGTGTGCAAATTAGACATGTCTAAGCCATCTTATTTCCTTGACCTGTTATTTCCCTATTTTTATAGTTGTCATAAATCTTAATAGTTCTAGAGCTCTAAAATAAACCCACAATGGGGATCTAAGTTGCTAGAGTTTTATATCTATTTGTGTATCCTATTTGCATGATTGTCATACAAAAAGTTCTATAAGGTTTTGGGCAATATTTTGAAATCCATACAACTTATTTAACTGGAGAAGTGCCTGGGTCAGACTTCAGAGGATAGTGGTCTGACCACTTTGTCAATTACTATTAAATAGTTAACGTGCTGATGCTCTAACTTTGCACAGTGGCATGGAAACGAGAAATGGGAAGCATGACATGAGATATGGGGAAACAACAATTTTTAAAAATGTACAACATAAAATGTGGGGACAATGAACAAATATAAAATATATATGGGTATAGTTGCAAATGTTTTTTCCATAATTACACAAATACTAATTGGTAACTAGTTTTATAAATAAAAATAATACACTGTGGGGGTGTATCCACTATAAATATATAGGGATATGTAAGGTTGAAGCAATAAATTAGAACATGTATTTCTTTTGGCCAAAAAATTATTTTTTCAATTAGACCCCCTGAAACTGTGAAACATGTTTCTTTTAGGAAACATGTCCTAAAACTTCTATTTTTTATTCTTATTTTATTTTTTAAATTATGGAAACAGCCCAGAAATGTTGTGAGGAAGTTTCCTGTGAGTTTTTGATTGTGAAAATGTGTCTAAAACATGGAAACACTCCTCCATGAGAGTTTCCGTGCATAATAACGTACTCTATACCTCAAAAGATGTGCCTGGACAAAACAAATACTTCTAGAGACTGCATTAATTGTCTACAACATAAGTTACATAATTGCATTACTTTTCAGTTGAATACTATTTTGTTACAGATAATATTATAGGGGAATTGTCTTGGGATGAGTAATCAATTATACACCTGTGCACACACAGGAGCAGAAATATACTCCTATATATATATATATATATATATATATATATATATATATATATATATATATATATATATATATATATATTATCTGTTATGCACATGAAAATTAGAACGGTGAAGTTTGGTGAAAGTGAGGGCATTTCAGACATTTTGAATTGCATTTGGTTAATTTGAAAAAGTTGAGGGACCAAAATTAGTTAAATTGATAGACAAGGACCAAAAGTGGTATTATCTCTGAAAATTATTACCATATTATTGTGGTATGATCATAAAGATGTTATCATCTTTTATTCATTCTCTTTCATTTTTATTTCTTGAAATAACATTCTGAAGAAAAATGCTAGAAATGTTTTTCTCAATGCTTCCTTTGGCCTAGGAAACAAATATTACTACTCATCTACTCTTTGATTCTCCTCAATCCTCTGTTTAGGGACCAAAATAGAGAGCTTACTCACTCACACACTTAGCTGGAAATGAAAATAATGACCAATTACCACTACAATGATCAGATCCATCAAGTAGGTGACCAATTGACAATTAGCCATGAGGTCTCAGAGATTGTGTACTTAGTATGGAAAAATTATCCATTTACTTTCAACATAGTCTAAGCTTGTGTAGTTTGATTAAACTGATAAAATAGTCATGATGGTTAAACTGCTGCTGCCACTACCTGTGGTATACTGGTATTCTAAACATATAATGGGTTTGGTCCATGTTATATGTGACTCGGCATACCAAAAAGAGATCCACACAATGGTCCAGCTCAGTTTTTTAAACATTTGCTATGGTCTATATTCTTCTATTCCTTAGTTTCTTGTTTATCCTCAATTAAATGGATGATTGCCAAACTTCGCTAAATAATAGCATCATTTGTTTACTATTGCTATGAAATTTTTTGAGTGATATCCATTTCACTTGTCAAAAAGAGAAAAAATGGATATCCATCTTATCTTTGGTTACATAGTTACTTGATCTAATACAGGGAACAGAAAAATGTAAATCTTCATTGGAGGAGCTATGCCTTAGATACTTCACCCCCCGTGAGGTAAGGCTCTTCACGCTCTAGATCTGTTTCCAGCAGTCATGAACTTAATGTCCTAATTCTTTTGTTATTGCAAAGGTTGCAAATTTACATTCTTTTCCAGCGAGTTTCCAGTTTCCCCAACACGTAAGCCTCAGACAGCGGTATGTTTTTCTTTATTCACTATAACTTTGTTCTGTTGTTAGAGCAATGACAGAAAGATAGACTTTACTTACTTTGTTTTGCTTTTTATTTATTTATTTATTTTGGGTTGGGGTGGGTATTTTTTTAAATTACTTCAAAGAATTATAGGATATAATCTTACTGGATAATGGATTTTAGTTAGAGCTGGAAAGCTTTTGCCTAGTATTGATTATTCATCCATGAACATTTAATGGCTTTGTCTGGTGTACCCTTTCCTGTTGTGATGCAGTAAATATTTTAGTTTTCTTTTGGCAAATGCTTGAAAGTTATCCTAGTTCTTTTTGAATTTATTACTACCTTCTTGTTTACTAGCCTCTGAGATACTTATTTGCTTATGTGTGCAGGTATGCCTTGCTCGGGAATAGTTTAAGTGTGGGAGTTGTTGCTCCATTGCTTCAGTATCTATTTACAGAGCCTCCATAACTCCATTCAAAACAAACTCCATTGATGAAGGTCTAAAACTTTCCATCGTTTTGTCACGAACTCACTATCCAGAGGAATTATATCAGTGCTTAGATATAAAATGTAGGATCTCAACCTTTTATTAGATCTATATGTTTTATTATATACTTTTTATGATTATTCTGGATAAAAAAAGTTGCATGTTTGTCCTTATAGATGAATCTAAATAGAATCTGTAATTTTAGTCTGAGATGTCCCATGTAATGGCATTGTAATTGCAAATTTCTTCATTACTGCATTGGTATTTTGATCAAAAGTTTTAGCAGGTTTTCTGTATTGCTAACCTATCTAAGGCAGCAATAATAGAACAGTGAATTATTCTATTTTATTTTATGCTGTGAGGGTGCTATTTTTTGTTTATGAATACAACCGTTGATAAGGTGTTTAGAAGCACTGAAAATGTATTGATCTTAACAGGGTGGAGCCATGAATACTGTTAAGTAGGGTGAAAACTTTAAAAATTTTAAAATTTAAAAACACGGTAAAAATATTTATGATGAAATATGAAATGGTTAGAATAAATTGTATTTTATCTTTATTAATATGATATTGAGTGAATTCCATTTTTGGTCCTACTGTTGTAGGGGCATTTCCAATTTTAGTCCACCTTAATTTTTTTTGTCACTTTATAACCACTATTATTGAATGTGTTACACTTTTAGTCCCACCGTTAGTATTTTCATCCAGAGGCCGTGTAATTAGGGGTATTTTGACCTTTCTTTTCATCCAAGACTATGTTTGACTAAAGAAATGAGAACATTAAACCTAAAACATAAGAAACCTCGTCGGCCCATGTTGGAACGAACGAAACGATGTAGCTTTGGCTTCCCATTTTCGTTGTTCGAAAAGCCATCTTCGAATATCGGAGGAGGAGGACGAAACGTCTGGATTAAAAGAGAAGAGACAAACATAAAAAGACCAAAATACCCTTTGATTATACAGCCTCTTGACGGAAATATTAACGGTGGACTAAAAGTGAAACACATCCAATAACAGTGGTTGTTAAGTGGGAAAAAAAATTAAAGTGGATTGAAATTGGAAACGTCTCTATAACAGTAGGACCAAAAATGGAATTCACTCTATGATATTTATACATTTTTTTGTTTTTTAATTAGATCAACTCTGTATTTTTACATTAATTTGAATACAATGATATACCATTGAAACTTAGGGGGGTGTATTCAATCATGACTTTCATAGAGTTTTAAAGACTTTTATGAACTTTAAAAGTTTGGGGGTATTTAATTCAAACTTTTAGAGAGGCTTTAAAACTCAGGCGGTATTCAATCAAGATTTTTAAAGAGTCTTTAAAAGTCGTTTGGTATTCTTCTTCTTCTTTTTTTGTTTTTTTAGTCGTTTGGTATTCGATTAAGACTTTTAGAGAGTCTTTAAAAGTCACGTGGTATTCAAAACGTTATGAACTTTTGTAGACTTTTTAATTTTAAGACTTTTGTAGACTTTTTCTTCTCAAATATAAATAGTTGAAATCCAACCATCAACCCTCAGATTTCAAAATTTTCTTTCTAACAACTTTGAATGTCTCTCTCTATTTAAACTCTATTTTTTCTCCCAATTTAAACTTTATAAACCTATCTAAATTAAATAAAATTATTTTTTCTTCATTATCCTATATTTTCCTCATACCTAAACTCTACCAATTTTTTTCTCTCCTAAACTTTACAATCTTCCTCTAAAAATTTGAAATAATATTATTCTTACTTCATTATTGCTTGTTTATATTGATTTTTATTTTTTCTATGAATTTTTTATCCCTAACTTTCTCTAATTCTCCCTAAATACATGAACAAAACAAATTTTTCATCATCAAATTTTAGTATATGTTTCATAATATTCATATAAATACTTATATATTTTGATTTTTATTCTTTTTATGTTTATATTCGTAATATATATTTTTCATTTTTTTAACAACAAGTTACTACGAATAGCGAACTACTGTTCGCAACAATAATTTGGGGTTGCAAACAGTAACACCTTGTTGTTATTCGCAGTCTCAAATTGCTATTGCAAATAATAGTTTTTGCGTGATGCCTAGCAATATATCAAGTATAATTATATATATATATATATATATATATATATATATATATATATATATATATTATAAATATTAAATTTTTTTTTTTTAATTTTATGCAACTTGTAATTATATTTTTAGATATTTTATTTGATCAATTCTTTTATTATAAATTTTCTTATTCAATATTGTTATGAATTTCTAATGAAATATTTTTTTTATGTTTATTAATAATATATATAAGTAATTAGCTAGCATATAAGTCTCAACATACTATGGATAAAATAATAATGTTGAGAATGTTGATGTGGGTGAAGAACTACATAATAAGAAAATTTTATGATATATTATAAATGTTTTGTAAGAAAATTATAAATGATAAGAATCAAAATCATTGAAAGTTTGTAAGGACGTATTCAATTTAGAATTTTAATGACTTTTGTAGACTTTTTAAAATAAAAAGTTGATAAAAGTCTATGAATGTTTTTTATATAGACTTTTATAGAGTCTTATAAAGTTTTAAAAAGTTCTGAACGACTCTATGAAAGTCAATCAAAGTTTATTAAAATCTATCATTTTAAAAGTCTTTAAAACTCTACAAAAGTCATGATTGAATACACCCCCCTTAGATTACATTAAGATAGTTCATAAAAAGTAGTTTTCTTTTAAAATATTTTTCATAATTGAATTACAACACCTATTTTATATCAATTCATTCATCAAATTAAATAATTATTGCGGAGTACTACACATAACACATTATAAATATTACAATTAATATGAAAAACTAAAAAAATTACAAATAAAAATACATATAAAAATACATTTAGTATATAGTCAACAAATTTTAATCCTTAGATCTCTTATCCCAACTAGTAAGTGTCCGTGCATAATTTAACAAATGAGCAAATTACACTTGTGATTCTATGACTATAGATGATGTGTTAATTTCGTTCCATAATTTTTAAAATTAACAATTTAGTCCTTTAACTATGTTTTTTAGTAGATTTGGTCCTTCCGGCCAAATCACCGGTGAAAATTGACCAGAAAAACTTAAACGTTTTTAAATTTTTTATTCATGAAGGCAAAATAGTCTTTTTACGTAAGCTGCTGCTTCTTCTTCGCGTTCATGAGCTACGGCTAACAGTTGCCTCTACTTCTAAGAAAGAACAGCTCCAAGAATCGAAGCCCCATGTTTAGAAGCAAGGTATGATTTTTATCCTTGGCTTTTTCTTCATGTCTACTGCGCATTTCTTGATTCATCTTTCCCAGATCGCACGATATAAAGCTCTATAAGAGATCTAAACTCCCAGAAATATTCTTCTCCCTATTCTAGCCACAACCATCCTCCCAATTCCAGCTATGACCAAAACATAATTGTAGTATTGGTTGTGGTCCTGTGGATGATGGTTTAGTTATAGAGTTGAAGTAGGTGTAGATGTTCATATAAATATTGATTCTGAATTTTAAATTTATCTTCAATCAATTAATGTTAGAAACATAACGTAATTATTGCAATGTTAATTCTCAATTATGGATCAACAACTATTACTCAAATGAATTTTGTGAATTACTCTCCTATACACTAAAATCTTTTTGCATATTATTCACTTTAATTTAATTTTCTTTTCATCTTTATTTAATTATTTATGATGATTATGTAGGGAAAATTTTCCCCTTATCATTTTGCTTTAATATATAGTGAGATAGACATTTTGCTTTAATATATATTGAGATAGAGATTTTTCCTGAATCATTTTGCTTTAATTTAATATATATAGACATGTTATGTTGACTAATTTAATAATTACGTTGATTTGATTTGATTTGTAATTAAAATTATATGAATTTATAAAGTAATGTAAATACAATAGATGCTTTCATATTTTGGAGCGAAAAATTTTTCCCTAATATTTTACTTTAATATATATATATAGAGAGATAAGGTGTTTGTTACCAACTAACCTACTGCAATATATGGTAACCTTTTTGTATAATAGCATATTATCTAATTTTATTAAGACATATATATATATATATATATATATATATATATATATATATATATATATATATATATATATGATACTGCTAATTATACGCAAGCAATATAAAATACCCGAGACCGTTTAAAGCAAATAAAAGACTTTATTGATCACGGTAAAGGCCCTAAGTACAATCTACTTGGTTGCTCTGAGTACCGACTGAGTGCGATCGGGATTCTCTAACAACAACCTATCAATCGTCCAAAAGTCCTTTACACTGTAGCTACTGTGGGTATTTATAGCCGCTATGCCGGGGACAGGATTCCAGCCGTTCGGCATGTCCTCCACGTAGCCACCACTTGTCATCCTCCCGGGTACCCTGCCTGTCGATGTAGAGAGCCGCCACGTGTCCTTCGTCAGCTCTCTCGCCAAAGGGCTACCGCTCGGTGGTTGACATCATCGTTCGGGCAACTCCCGGTCGGACCCCGACCGGGTTCTTCACAAGGAGCCCGACCTGTTTACCTGCAAAGACAAAGAGAAAAGGACAAAGGCATCTCGGTCGTGGTGAAGCTATGTCGGTCGGGATATTCCCTACCAAGAGCCCCCCAGCCCGGGCCTTTTTTATCGTCCGAGAAAAACGGGACGGGATGAAGAAGCCCAACCGTCGGCCACTAAACCGACCGGCCAGCTGTCATTCCCCTCCTCGCCACGTGTCGGCCACTGCCGGCCTCTGCGACTGCAACCGTCACCTCGGAGTCAGCGCTGGTCGTGTCACGCAAGTGGATGATTTTCCCGCCCCAACGCTCTCCTATAAATAGGCCCCTGAGGCCTTCATTTGAACTTTCCTCAATCTTCTGAAGCAGTCGGTACCCTCAGAGAGTCCCGAGCATCAGTTCAGCGAACCAGTCGAGCAAAGCCAAGCTTCAAGTTCTCTCCAAAGTACCAGCAATCGGTAAGCTCTTGATCCCTCAGCTTTTTACTTTGTTTTTAGCTTTGCGTAGGAGTAGGATAGGACTAACTTTGGGCTAACCTCCCGACCTTGTACTAACCCTGACCGACCTTTAGGTAGAAAACATGTCGGATTCAGATAGCCAGAACGCCTCGATCGCAGACTACGACAACGCAATCGAGCACAGCAGCGAGGAGGTGGACATCATGTCCTACTCCCCAGAGGTCGAACAACGACCACAGCCCACTCCCGACCAAGCCCCTGAGCCGGCAGGATCAACAAGCTCGTCTGGGACCTCGGTGTCGAGCTCCAGCGGGTCGGGGAGCGAAGCAACGTCCACGAGCGGACGAA